CTCCTGATGAGAACCATTTGAACCTGTGCCTTTTAAGCAGATCTTCATATTCTCTTGGCAATGTCTTCCCATACCGCGTCATATTTGAACTCAGGAACAATTACACTGCTGTCTGGTCCCCTTGTTTCAGAGAGATGGCAACAAACCTTCCAGTATCTCACAAAAGCTCCCTTCAAACCTGCCAGCCAAACAATTCTGGACATGGTCTCCCTTTCTCTTTTGATATTGCTATCCATGTCCACCTTTCTAGCCGTCGTAGTTAAAACATCTAGAGAAACTTCATCATCCCACGGTTCCAATCTCTTTATCCTGACTGCATCTAAATAGCTCTCCTGATGAGAACCATTTGAACCTGTGCCTTTTAAGCAGATCTTCATATTCTCTTGGCAATGGATTCCCATACCGCGTCATATTTGAACTCAGGAACAATTACGCTGCTGTCTGGTCCCAATGTTTCAGAGAGATGGCAACAAACCTTCCATGGATGTTGAAGTCTTGTGTCACTGAGTACTCGTACAGCCGATGCGTATGATTCCATTTCTTGTACTTGTTACCTGTGCTTTCTGAAGCTGCTAACACATTTGATATGCCCTCAGTAGCATTCATCTGTGCTCTAGTTTCGTGTGGCTGGTGTTATTGTTGGGTTCAAGTACGACTTGAATATGTGCATTTAAATTTGGTCTCTGTGCTTGATAGATGATTTTAATGTCTTTATGGTTTTACGATCTTTTTAACTTATTGTAAAGTTTAAAGCCTGATAGCGGAGAATTTCTTGTTAAAGGATGATAGTTTTAGCAATTAAATTGAATGCTATGGTCATTGTTATTATATGGAAGGGCTAAGGAGAAGTCCTTATGTATGGATCTATAGCTGACCAGACGAAAAAGGAGGCCTATTTACATCTCTTTTTCTTGCTTATCTTGAAGTTCTTTTACTCCCTTCACTTCACAAATTGTTGTGTGATGTGTTTTACAGGGGCTGTAGCTGTTCTTCTCCTACTAGCTGTTGGATTGCTTTGTGCATATGAACTTTGTGCTGTGTATGTCACAACCGGTGTTAGAGCATCTGAAAGATACTCACCTTCAGGGTTCTTCTTTGGTGTGTCGGCAATCTCCCTGGCAATCAATATGCTATTTATTTGCAGGATGGTCTTCAATGGTATGCTTTTTTTGTCATAATGTTTATATGTGTCTTTTGAAGGTTGATCAGCAACTTGTGGCGAGCATCTTTGCTTTCTTTCCTGGCTCAAAGTAGGAGGATTATTTAGAGAATTTTTGTTGGTTATTCTTGCCTTTTTAGTTGGGCCATTGAAATTTTTACGGAACTCTTGTTCTCCTTTTGTCTTCCCCCTTTCTGAATTCTCTTTCTACCAATCTTTGCAGGGAATGGCTTAGATGTTGATGAGTATGTACGGAGGGCGTATAAATTTGCTTATTCTGATTGTATTGAAGTGGGTCCTGTTGCTTGCTTACAAGAGCCACCTGATCCCAATGAGTTATATCCTCGACAATCTAGAAGGTAAACTATATATTGCTTGTTATAGAGTGACTCTGCTGTAGTGCATCTATGTTTTATGTATTATGGTTCTTTCTCTTTCGGGAGCTCGTAAATCTTATGCTTAACCTTTTTTGAGAGATTGAGACCTCCTTACCCCTGGAGATGCTCCATGCAGACCAAAATTAATAAGATGGTCTCTCTCAATCTCTTCAACGGGAATCATGACTACTATGCATTGAACGAAGAGTAGAAGTAAAAGCTCTATATAAAAGGATAAGAGTGACTAATATGCACTTCTCCCTTTTTTTTTTTGGAGAACCGTTATTAAAAGAGACAGAATAGAGGGGTCCAGGATGACCTCAACTAACGTGACCTGAAAATAAGTAGCCAAAGAAACTCTAAAACAATGGGTGCAACTCTAATCTCTTGAATAAAAGGAATACTAACTAGGAGAATTCAATGATTGAGAGAGTAGAGAAGCGCTTGGCAAGATGGTAAAAGAGGTATCTATCGAAAGGAGGGAAGGAATTGTTAATAAAAAACACTTTGTCTAGCATCCCTACATAGGAGGGAAGAAAGTGTTAATAGCAAGCACTTTGTCTAGCATCCCTACATATTTCATGTCACTTCTGCACGCTCATGGTATATTGATAGCATGATAGGCAAGTTGGACAGACTTCATCAGAACTTTCTATTGGATACAACAGATAATTTTAAAAAGTTTCATCTGGTGAATCGGAGCGTTGTCACACCTCCGAAGGAATGGGGAAGACTGAGAGTGAAAGATCTTAAGGTCTTCACCAGAGCTGTGCTAGGGAAGTGGATATGGAGGTTTGGATGGAGGAGAATACATTTTGGAGGGGGTGGTAGCGGAGAAATATGGTATTATGGAAGGGGGTGAAGGACTACAAACATTACATTTCCATTTGGGTGCGGCTTATGGAGGGGTATTATGAAGGGGTGGGGAGAGTTCAGGGGAAATATCTCTTTCAGGGGAACTAGGGTTAGTTTTTTGGGAGCATAAGTGGTGTGGGGAGAACGAGTTGAGGGAAGTTGTTCCCAATATACATTGAGTCTCGTGCCAAAGAGAGACAATTCAACAAATTTGTATGCTTCATGAATGGTAAGTTCACTAGAACTTGAGATTTAGGAGGAACCTATAAGATTGGGAGTTGGGAGAATTTAATACCTTGGTTTAGTTTTTGTACAAGCAGAGCATATCACATACTGTTCCTGACACATGGAGATGACATCTTGCCCGGGGAAAGGCTGCATCTAGTATCGGACTGATGATTTGGACGACACGGAGATGGCAATAGAGTAAAGAAGCTGTGTTCACTCTCAAATCTTATTATGAGAGGTTACTAAGGAGAGAGGAACACAGTTTTCCATACCGTTCTATTTGGGTTCCTAAGGTGCCTAGGAAGGTGTGTTTCTTTGTGTGGTTGGCAAAGAGGAGTGATTTTGATAGCGGAAAATTTGAGGAAAAGGAAGATCACCCATGTTAGTTGGTGCTTTGCAAAGGATTGGACGAAGATGTCGATCATCTCTTGTTACATTGTCAAGTGGCTTCGCTTCACGACTGTGGATGGTGGGGCTTAATTGGTTTGGAATGGAAAGGTGATGCCAAGTACGGTGAAGGAGGTGTTGCACAATTGGTCATACAAGAGGGGGGGGGGGGGGGGGGACTTAAGGTTGTAGTACCAATACTTAGGGGTAAATTTAAATTAAAAATTAAAAAACTTTATATTTAAATACAAACTTTAGTGGATGAAAAACATTCAAGGCTATGGAGTGCTTTTTATTTTATTTAATTCAATGTAAACATTAGATTTCTAATACAAGTTACAAGTATTTATTTGTATTTCAACATTTGTAAAAATAAAATTACATATTTCTTTTGAACGATTTACGTAACTGTTCAATAATTTTTTGTGATTCTTCACTTGGAATTGTTAGTACTTGTTCGTCTGCGTCCCTACCATCTCCGGTAGATTGTATTTCATTATATGCATCGTCGTCTTGAATTATTTCTAGAATGCCAAAGTTTCTTCTCTCCGTTTTAATCCAATCTCTGAATAAAACGGTAGTCTCCAAGGTGTCTTCTGCCAATGAGTATCTGTGGTCTCCAGTTGAAATCGTGCTGCACTAAAAGCGCTTTCGGAAGCTACTGATGAAGCTTGAATAGTTAGCACATCTCAGGCCATTCTTGAATGAGTCGAAAATGTTTATTCGTTCATTCTCTAATATTTCAGCAAGTCAACCATTATTTTAATATCATCTTTATAGTCTTTTTTTTGTTTATACTCAAAAAATAACATCGAAATTCCAACTATATAAATTAACATGCTAGAAATAGTTGGATAATATACCCCAGAAAATTCTTTAGTAGCATAGAATTTTTTTTTCTAAAAAATGAATAAGATGGAAAATGGTATCCCAATCAACATCTATTATCATATCATGAACAGATGAAACATGGGCATTATACATGTTGGTAATAGGCAATCAATATTCATAAGCAACAAACAACGTATCAGATATTGAATTCATAAGCTACAGACAACATATCATATACTGAATTCCATCTAGTTGCAACTTCTTTTGGAATTTTTCTATAGGGTAATTCACAAGATTCACAATGTATCTTAAATTCTTTACGTCTAGCATGTATTGAGAGCGAAAAATGTAACCAACCGCAAATCTAATTTTGTCAAGAGTAGTGCCAAATAAAGTAAGTCTATCTTGAACAAACAACAACAATAACAGACCCAGTGTAATCCCACAAGTGGGGTCTGAGGAGGGTAGTATGTACGCAGACCTTACTTTTAACTTTAAGAAGGCAGAGATGCTGTTTCCGGTATACCCTCGACTTAGGAAAGGTAAAAGGAAGAGCAACAACAAGCACGCCAATTAGAAAACCGAAGCAAAAATACAAAACTAAAACTAAGTACTACAATTAGAAAGCCGAAACGAAAGCAACAACAAGTAATCACAGAATTCAAGGAATACAAAAATACACAAATAACACTATCTCATGTACTAAAGCTACTGTTACAGACAAGGACAACGCTCGACTGCCTATCCTAACCCTTTACCTTTATTCTCAACCTCCATACCTTCGTATCAATGGTCATGTCCTCAGTGAGTTGGAGCAACGCCATATCTTGCCTAATCACCTCTCCCCAATACTTCTTCGGCCTGCTTCTACCTCTCCTTAGGCCCTCCAGGGCCAACTTCTCACACTTGCTCACCGGTGCATCTGTGCCTCTCCTCTTCACATGCGCGAACCATCTAAGTCTCGCTTCCCATATCTTGTTCTCCTTAGGGGCCACGCCCACCTTGTCCCGAATAATGTCATTTCTAATTCTATCTAACCTGCTATGCCCGCACATCCATCTCAACATCCTCATTTCAGCCACCTTCATCTTATGGACATGAGAGTTCTTGACCAGCCAACACTCCACCCCATACAACATAGTCGGTCTGACCATCGCTCTATAAAACTTACCTTTAAGTTTAGGTTGCACATTCTTATAACACAACACTGGAATCGAGCCTCTATTTCATCCACTCCGCCCCAATATGATGTGTAATATTTTCGTCAATCTCTCCATTCCCTTGTATAATTGACCCAAGGTATTTAAAACTCTCTCCTAAGGATGACTTGAGAATCAAACCTCACTTCTTCGTCCACTACCTGAGTCGCACCACTGAACTTGCACTCCAAGTATTCTGTCTTGGTCCTGCTCAACTTGAAACCTTTAGATTCCAGGGTCTGCCTCTAAATCTCTATCCAGTCGTTAACACCGCCTCGCGTCTCGTCAATTAGAACAATGTCATCTGCAAATAAGATGCACCATAACACATCTCCTTGTATGTGGCACGTCAGTGCGTCGGTCGCCCAGGCAAATAGAAATGGACTGAGGGCTGACCCCTGGTGCAACCCTATCATAGCTGGGAAGTGTTCCGAGTCCCCTCTCATGGTCCTCACTCGAGTCTTAGCTCCATCATACATGTTTTTAATAGCCCTAATGTAAGCAACATGAACACCTCTAGCCTCCAAACATCTCCACAGAACCTCCTTTGGCACTTTATCGTATGCCTTCTCTAAGTCGATGAACACCATATGTTAATCCCTCTTCCTTTCCTTGTACTGCTCCATCAACTTCCTAACTGGTTTTTAGAAATATCCACAATCCTCCTCAACCTAAGCTCCACCACCCTCTTCCAGACTTTCATAGTATAGCTTAGTAACTTGATGCCCCGGTAGTTGTTGCAACTTTGGATATCACCCTTGTTCTTATACAGTGGGACCATCGTACTCCATCTCCATTCTTTGGGCATCTTCTTCATTCTAAAAATGACATTAAATAACCAGGACCAGTCGCTCTCCCCCTGCTTATCTTATGCATAGCCTCAACCTCCTCGACTCTTCTACGCCTACAATACTCGAAGTCCCGACGACTCTCAGAGTGTTCTAAGTCGTCTAGCTCAATGTTCCTATCCTCCTCTTCGTTCAAGAGTTTATGGAAGTAAGTCTGCCATCTACGTCCAATAAGTGCCTCATCCAATAAAACTTTGCCGTCCTCGTCCTTGACGCACTTTACTTGGTCCAGGTCAGGAGCCTTCCTTTCTCGTACCTTGGCTAGCCTATACAACTTATCCACTCCTCTACCTCCAAGCTCTTCATAGCAGCTTTCAAACACGGCAGTCTTGGCCGCACTGCTAACTTTGCTTCCTTCTTAGCCATCTTATACCGTTCCTTATTCGTCCTTTTCACCTCTTCGTCCACGCTCTCCAAAAGCTTAAGATATGCCGCTTTCTTTGCTTCCACTTTCCCTTGAACCTCAGTACTCCACCACCAATCCCCTTTACGGCCACCGGATGAGCCTTTCGAGACTCCAATACCTCTCTGGCAGCCTCCCTAATGCAATTCACAGTCGTGGTCCACATACTACTCGCGTCCCCACTACTTCTATATGCTCCCATAACCAACAACTTATCTCCCAACTCTTGTGTTCTATCTTTATTCGTAGCTCCCCACTTGATCTTAGGTAGACCAAACACAACCCTCTTTTTCGCTTCCTCATGATCTCCGAGTCCATGACCAGAAGCCTATGTTGAGTCGTGAAGTTCTTACTCGGGATGACCTTACAGTCCGTGCACAAACCTTTACCAGACTTCCTGAAGAGTTGATACTCAATCTGGGCCCTGGCCACCGAACTCTGAAAGGTGACCAAGTGCTCATCCTCCTTCGGGAAACTAGAGTTAGCTATCACAAAATCAAAAGCCTTACCAAAGTCCATCAGTGAAGTATTACTTCCGTTTCTAACTCCGAAACCAAAGCCGACATGCACGTCATCGTAGCCCTAGATGTCGCCCCAATGTGGCCGTTGAAATCCCTTCCTATGAAAAGTTTCTCAGTGTACGGAATACCACACACAACCTCATCAAAATCCTCCCAGAAACACCTTTTGACCTCCTCGTCCAAGCCCACTTGAGGTGCGTACGCACTTATCACGTTTAAAGTAAAACCCCCAACAACTAGCTTAATGCCTATCAACTTGTCGTTAACCCTCCTAACCTCCACCACTAGCTCACGAAGATCCCTATCAACCAAAATACCTACCTCGTTCTTGCCTTCCACGCGTCCAGAGTACCAAGACCATCTACATCCCATGCCTTATCTCCCACCCATCTAGTCTCCGGTAGACAAGCTATATTGATCTTCCTCTTATAGAGAATCTTCGCTAACTCTATAGGCTTTCCCGTCAAAGTCCCTAAATTGCAAGACCCAACTCGCAACTTGGAGGCATCCATCTTGAACTACTAAGTTATAAATATGACATGCACATCTAATATGAAATAAATCCGGAAAAGGTGGAGTTAATCTAGTTTTCAAAACTCCTACATCAGAAGTGTTACTAGAAGCATTATATAAAGTAATAGTAATAATTTTGTTAGAAAGTCCATAAAAATCACAAATTTCTTTAATCTATTTAGAAAAAAAAATACTAGCGTGTCGATCATCAATAAATTTATAACCAATAATGCGTTTTTTCATAACTCAATTGTTATATATCCAATGACATGTAACTGTTAAGTAATCATAACCATTTACAGTACGACCTATGTCAGAAGTGATAAAAACTCTATAATCTTAGTGGAAAAATAAATAATGTAAATATTGTTGATATTCACGTTGAAATTTAAAAACATCATTTCTAACAGTTCTAGGAAAACCTTTGAAAAGCAGGATTATACGTTTCTTGTATGTAACGAATAAACCCGTCAGATGACGGAAAACTAAAAGGCAAACCCTGTACATCAACCATTTTTGCTTTATTTTCCCTATCCATTTTTGGTCATAATGGAGAAGACCTCCTGTCATAGGGTTAATTTGTGGTTGTACATTATGAGAACCATGCTCAGACTGAGTAGGATTTGTTTCAGAACGGGGACTCCCTCCCTAGCAAGACAAACATCTTTGTGATTAAGTTGCATATGCTTCATTAAACCTCCCATTCCGCCATGATCACCTAGATGTTAGAAATATGAGGGATTTCTATTTTTTCTTGTTCATGATTTTCAGAATTCTAAATCTCTAATTTGCAAGGCCCTTTTGTACCGTTATTGATGTCATCGGCGTGTTATGTATTTCAGTTTGATGTGCGTTCTGGCATTGTTCTCTCTTGTCTTGCTTGAATGTGTCATGCACTGCAGGTTTCTCATTTTTTTCATATTGTACTTTAGTTGAATATCAATTATTTGTTGTTAAGATTTTCTGTTATCTTTTGGTATCAATTATAAATGTCAAATGGTCACAAGATATAGTGTGACAAAGAGGTCTGCATATAGAGAGAGACATGAATATCGTCTACACACTGCTTGGGCTTCACTGTGCTTAATGCTATATAAGCATTAAGACAGGGTTCACTTGTTCTGGTGATACTTTTAATTGCTCTTGAGAGTAATAACGATATAAATCATGAGACTTTCATGGTGATTGGTGTCTTCTGATTCTTGTCCCTGTAAACTCAAGATAAACTTCTTGTTAATAAATTGATTTTCTTGTCGAATCTCAATTCTGTTAATGGTTTCTCAGACCAGAAATGCTTTATCCGGAACATACTCTGCCCCCCAGAGGTCGGCCAGCTCAGCTGCTCTATTGGTTGGTGATCCAACAATGATGAGGGATAGGGGAGGCAATTTTGTGCTTCCACGAGCAGATGTCATGAAATTAAGAGATCGTCTCAGAAATGAAGAACTGGCTGCTGGGTCAATTTTCTGCAGGTTAAGGAATAGGACACTGAGGCGTGAAGCAACTAGTGATGTAGGTCACCGAAGAGAAATGTGTGCCCATGCTCGAATTCTGGCTTTAGAGGAAGCAATTGACACTGAATGGGTTTACATGTGGGATAAGTTTGGCGGTTACTTACTTCTTTTGCTTGGTTTGACTGCTAAAGCTGAGAGGGTACAGGTAAACTATATGTGTTACAAATTACTTGTATGCTTTTAAACTTTTTTTCCCCCTATTGCTGAACTTAGCATGCTTTGCCAGGATGAGGTTCGTCTGCGACTTTTCCTTGACAGCATAGGGTTTTCAGATCTTAGTGCCAAAGACATAAAAAAATGGCTCCCAGAAGACCGTAGGCGATTTGAAATCATACAGGAGAGGTAAATGAATCCTTAGAACTGTTCTGGTAAATCTGCTGCACTTAGGAGAGTCAGAGTTCTTCTAAATTTGTTTAATTGGTTCTTGCAGTTATATGAGGGAGAAGGAGATGGAAGAGGAAATCTTGATGCAGAGACGTGAAGAGGAAGGAAGGGGTAAAGAAAGGAGGAAAGCTCTCCTTGAGAAGGAGGAACGCAAATGGAAGGAAATAGAGGCGTCACTTATATCATCTATTCCTAATGCTGGGAATAGAGAGGCAGCGGCGATGGCAGCTGCAGTGCGTGCAGTAGGAGGAGATTCTGTTCTTGATGATTCTTTTGCACGGGAAAGAGTCTCAAGCATTGCACGTCGTATTCGTGCTGCTCAGCTATCTCGTCGAGCACTTCAGGTCATACCTACCCTCTACTTAAAGTGCAACTAAGATCTTGAAGTATGATGCTGAATTCTACCTAATGCCTTTTGTCACGACCCAAACTAGGGGCCGTGACTGGCACCTGCCGAGCGAACCCTTAACTATGTCGTAACAACCATCAATAAAACATGCATTGGGTCCCAACCGACCCTTTGCCATCAATCAATGCTTTAATTTAACAAAGGATATCTGTATGAAGGCTCAAAGGTTTAACATGTAGACATAAGTATCAACGTGAGGCATCATTCAATTAAATTCCGAAGCTGTATATACCTTCGGAGTATCAGTGAGTATCAACGCAAGGCATCATTTTTTTTCTCGATAAGGTGATAAATTTTATTGATTGGGAAAATACCTGTATACAAGAGGTATACCAAAACGTAGAGACTCTACATTAAAGCATGTTTCTCTACAAAAGACACTTAATCATCTATATAAATAGGAATCTCATGGGTGCACCAAAAAGCAATTAAAGTCAGTAGGCTATTCCTCAAATGTACAAAATCATGTTCATTCCCCTCAAACGCCCTCCTATTCCTCTCCTTCCATACAACCGACATAAGAGCTAGCAAGGTTACCTCCCATGCCCTTTGTCTTCTTTTCTTTCTTCTACCGGCCCAACTGTGCAACAGATCTCTAACAGTGCCTGGCATCACCCACTGTACTCCAAAGTAGTCCAAAACCACCCTCCACAGCCCCGATGCCACTCGCAATGCAACAAAAGATGATCAACTTCTTCACCCGAGCATTTGCACATATAGCACCAACTCACATAAGTAATATTTCTCTTCCTCAAGTTTTCCGCTGTCAAAATTGTTCCCCTTTCCTTGGCGCCCTTGGGATCCACACCAAAAGGTTTGGAAAAACGTATCTCCTCTCTCACCAACAACTTCTGACAGAAAGATTTGACCTTAAATTTACCATCACTCCTCAACACCAACCTTCATGAATCCTGATTGCAAGGTAATAAAATCTGCTTATACAGTAACTCTATCAACCTTTGGAACTCCCCTATCTCCCAGTCTTGTAAATTCCTCCTAAACGTGATATCCCAAAGAACCTCCCTCTCATGTACCCTTCGGATTTGATGAACTGTTAACTCTCTCTGGTTCGATACTCCAAATAAGCTAGGGAAGGAGACCCTTAATGTATCCTCCCCACACCATTTATGATTCCAAAAACTATTTCTTCGCCCATCCCCAACCCTAAATGTTACATGGCCACTGAAGTCTTGCCATACCTTCATAATAATCCTCCACATACTGCACCCAAACAGAGCTGTAACAGATTTACTCCTCCACCCTCCTAACACAGTGCCATACTTTTCCGCTACCACTTCCCTCCATTGAGCGTGTACCTCTACACCAAATCTCCATATTCATTCCCTAGCCAAGCTCTATTAAACACCCTCAGATCTTTTAACCCTAACCCCATTTGTTTGGTGTAGACTAGAGTGTCAGCCTCTCATCTAAATGGATCTTTTTGGTACCATCTGCTTCATTTCATAGGAAATTTCTTTGGAGCCTTTCTAACTTCTCTGTAACCTTTCTAACTTTTCTGTAACTCTCACCGGTGCCTGCAGCAAAGACATATAATATTTAGGGATGCTCGAGAGAGTACTCTTGATGAGAACTTCCTTTCCTCCTTTTGATAAGTACCTCTTTTGCCAACCTTACTAGTCTCCTTTCATCTCTTTCAATAACAGTATTCCACACAAATGGATCTTTATGTGAGGCACCCAAGGGCAAACCTAAGCACGTAGAAGGTAAAGCACCCACCTTGCAATTGAATACTTGTGCTAGGCATTAGATATTTTCTACCTCTCCCACCAGAATAATCTCACATTTGCTAAGGTTGATCTTGAGCCCTGACACAATCTGAAACCACACCAAAACCTGCTTCAAATATGTCAACTGAGCCACATCTGCATCACAAAAGACCAGCGTGTCATCCACAAACAGTAAGTATGAAACCCTAACATTGCTATGTTCCCCGAACGACACTGTAAAAGCCCTTAAGAGTCCTCCACTCACTGCCCTGTCCATCATCTTGCTAAGTGCTTCCATCACTAAGTTAAATAGCATAGGGGATAATGCCCCCCCCTGCCAAAATCCCCTCGATCTACCAAAAAAATCACATGGACTACCATTTACCAAAACAGAGAATCTGATAGAAGAAATACAGGCCCTAATCCAACGCCTCCACCTCTCTGCACACCCCATCTTCATCAGAAATGGGACGTAGACCGACATGTGATAATAACGGAAGAATGACAAGTGAAACCCCCACAACTCTGTGTGAGGCTCACTGCCGAAAGTACTGAACCCCTCTTTAGTATTTGTTAGAATAGGTCTGAAACCGAATTTATCTTTTTCCTGTTACTCTTTTTATGATGATCCATCAAAACAATCACAAGCTTAACCCCAAATCTTTTTTGATAGGTACTTGACCCAAATTCCTGTATGGTGATTTTCCTGCTTTTTAAAATCTTTTCTGTTGCAGACAGGACTTGCTGACGCTGTGTGTATACTTGATGATGAACCCACAACTAGTGGTAGACAGTGTGGTCAGATTGATCCTAGTGTATGTCAAAGTCAAAAAGTTAGCTGCTCGCTTGCTGTAATGGTCCAGCCCGAATCTGGACCTCTTTGTTTGTTCGGCACTGAATTCCAGAAGAATATTTGCTGGGAATTTCTTGTGGCTGGCTCTGAGCAAGGCATTGAAGCTGGACAAGTTGGGCTTAGATTAATTACTAAAACTGATAAGCAAACTACTGTAAAGGAGTGGAGTATAAGTGCCACCAGTATAGCAGATGGAAGGTTTGCAAGCTTTTCCTCTTTGTTTCTGTGTGAATTGCTGTGTAAAGGTGGTCTATGTGGTTACTTAGGACTTCTGTCTTGTTCTTCTTTTCTGATAAATCAATGTATATTTTATTACTACCCACTAAGGTGGTGTTAACTATACAAGAAATAGTACATAAACTCCTTAAAATAAAATAGAGGCTTTTGTCTTGTTTCTTGTTTAGTCCACTTCATTTTTGAGTGTTGAGTAGACTCAGATGGCCATCTGACATGTACAAGCATTATTTTGCAGGTGGCATATCATAACAATGACTATTGATGCTGAATTGGGTGAAGCAACTTGCTACCTAGATGGAAATTTTGATGGCTACCAGACCGGGCTACCACTGAGAGTGGCTAGCTGCATATGGGAGCTGGGAACAGATGCCTGGGTGGGCATAAGACCACCTATTGATGTTGATTCATTTGGGAGATCAGATAGTGAAGGAGCCGAATCAAAGGTGCACATAATGGATGTATTTCTTTGGGGAAGGTGCTTGACAGAAGATGAGATTGCAGCTCTTCCCGCAGCTATGGGTTCTGCTGAATACAACATGATTGATCTGCCGGATGATAATTGGCAATGGGCAGATTCTCCAACTAGGGTCTGTGTTTTTCAGTTCGAATGATTTGTTTCCAGTAATGCATCTTATAGTTGTCAATTGTAGATAAAATGGTCCTTAGGTCTTTCTCCCTTTAATTGTAGATGCTCTTGTTCTAGATATTTGAAGGAAAAAAATTTACTACCAAAAACTTTAAGAAACCCGATTGGTGGAGTTGATTGATTGATAATTTGCTACTGCTAATTTCGTCATATCAGGTAAACATAAAAGAAATAGTTGCTTGTCCTTTGGAATTTGTCTCATGGTTGCTACTTGGTTCATCTTGCTTAGGTTGATGGGTGGGACAGTGATCCTGCGGATGTAGATCTTTATGACAGAGATGATGTAGATTGGGATGGGCAATATTCAAGTGGGAGGAAGAGAAGGTCAGAACGTGATGGGGTTGTGTTGGACGTGGATTCTTTTACTCGAAGGTTGAGGAAGCCTCGAGTAGAGACACAGAAGGAAATCAATCAACACATGCTTTCATTGGAAATGGCTGTGAAGGAGGCTCTCTTAGCAAGAGGAGAGTCACATTTTACTGATCAAGAGTTTCCTCCTAGTGACCGCTCATTATTTATGGATCCACACAATCCTCCATCTAAATTGCAGGTGAGTCCACCGGCAACGCTTTGCTCAGTTTTATTGGTCTTCTGATTTTCCGGGTTCAATTACGATGTTTTGTACCTTAGCTGATGTCAGTTCATCCCAGGTTGTTTCTGAATGGATGAGGCCTACTGATATAGTGAAAGAGAAGCATCTGGATTGTCACCCATGCTTATTCTCTGGAGTAGCAAATTCTTCAGATGTTTGCCAGGTTGTGCTACTCTTCTTCATACTGTTTGCTCAAAGTATCACCTCCTGTCTCCTCTTTCCTTTTGCTTGTTGTGGAGGCAGATCAAAAGTTGGTTGTTAGAATTGTCTTTGAAGATCAGGTTGCTCATTGTGATACTGTACTTTTTAATTAGGGACGACTGGGTGATTGTTGGTTTCTAAGTGCTGTTGCTGTGCTAACTGAGGTTTCACGAATATCAGAAGTCATAATTACACCAGAATACAATCAGGAAGGAATATATACAGTTCGCTTCTGCATTCAGGTTAGACTGTTTATTTGTACAGTTACTTGCTGTTTTTTGCGCGAGTTTGTTTCTTTTGCAAATCCAAATTTAAATCTTGCTTAGATGGCCTTCTTCCAATTCCAGATTTAACCCTTCTTACCTTTAGATTTAGCCATTTGAACTGTGTTATGGATGGGAGGAAGTGCTTGAGTTTTTGGCTCCTATTATTATGCATGTGGATATGAATTGTAGAGTATTCTTCTGCAGCATGTAAGATCCTAAGAGATTTCTTTAGCAGTATGCTGCCCTGGCTTTATGGTAATACTAACAAGTGCAATGTGTTCGTCAGAAAGGGCATAGAATCACCTTAGTACTTACCAGACATGAAGTGGCTGGATGTTTGCAGTTTTGATGAAAATAGAAGTTGTTTTATCGTGTCTTTGAACTCTGAATGGAAAGGGATATTAAATCAACACCTTGGAACTTGGAAGTAATACATCTCCTGTGTTCAAATTTTCGGATCTATTGACAGAGATGTTGTTAACCACTAGCAACTATTGAATATAGTTGATTATGGACCACTAGAAACTATTGATTGTAGTTGATTATGGAGGTTTAAATCATCTGAAGAAAAAGAAAGAGAACATTTGGAATTGAACAGTCAGAGACCTTGGACTTTTTCATTATATTGCTGCTTTCTTTTGTAGATCATGAAACATTCCAAGATCACTAGACATCAGCACCAAATAGTGTAGCGTATGCTGGCATTTTACTCTGATTTAATCTAGATTTTGCCAAATTGTCTTTGGATATAAGTTATGGACTTATGGTCCTTTTGGATGCAGTTTCTGCTTCAATATGCGACGTAGCAGGTTAATCGAGACTGCTCATTTTCATGCTTCCCCTTTGAGTTGATTTATGTCATCTAAGTTGATTTATGTCATCTATGTTTAGATGTTAATCAGTATTATGGTGTTTTGGAAGCTTAGCCTCTTCCTTTCCTTTTTGGAGTTGAAAAAAGAAAAACTTTGTCAGTCAAGTAGTATGACGAGGACTAGATTTTGTTTGTGTTCTTTTCCTGGATTTAAAGTGATCCTTCTTGAGAATAAGTGCGGATATGGGGCTCATTCTAGTCATTGCCTAGTTTTCTTTTTCCCTTGCTTTCACACATCGTGCACCCAAGTGAAACAAAAAACATTTTTCCCTCTTTAGAGTTGCAAGTATGT